GCCCCCCATCAGCTTGCGGTAGTACTTGTGTCGGCCACTCATGCGTAAAGGGCATTTTCGAGTGGATTGATCGTGTATGTGTGTTTTTATATATTTTTTTCATATTGTACCATAAGGGGATGACAGCGATGGCAATTTTATCTCCACACCTGCGCAAGGAACCGGAAAGTTGATTGAAGGCAGGTGTGTCGTTTTGCAAAACCCAACAAGGCTACTTACCAGCCACACAGCTTCCAAAGTTTTGCCGACCCGAGCTCGTCTTGACCCGGTAAGCGCCCGTTTCATCCATTGACTTTTGGTTCTACCATGGTAGGTGTTTCCTTAGCTGTCCTACCCCAGTTCAACCAGGTGGGTGTTGCGGACCCCCCAAAATGCCGTTGGCTTCCCTTTAGAAACAAAGAAAAACCGGGGGCACCATCAAAAAAGGGGACACCCAGGAAGGTTTCGAAGCTAGAAGAAACTCTGCCTGGTTGGAGCCCACAATCTGGCCGTCCGCCTTGCGTGGCCTCGGATGGTGCTAATGCCAGAAACCAAGGGTTTCGGGTGCTAAATGGGGACCTCTGGACAACAACATGAACATGATCTATCCGCTTTTGGGGCGTTTTGAAAACTCGAGGCAAACAGTTCCCATCCAAAACACCCCTGCCCTCAACCCCGCTTGCTGGTTTCCTCCACATCCTTAACTTCTGGCAGTCAAGTCAAATCCTATGGAACCAAGAAGGCGGGAAAGCGTTCGAGATCCCATGCTGGCCCGTCCGCCCGTCCCGACCGGACACCTTCGGCCCCCCGCTCATGCTGGAAGCAGATCACCGTCTCCGCGCAGGAGGCGGCGCCCTCCCCGAGCTGCGGCTCTGCACGGACCACGTACTCCAGGCCTCAAAAAGTCGGGCCCGACAGCGCGCGAGAAGAAACCATGTGCGCGTTCTTCTGCCGGCCACTTTTCCGCGAATGGGCCATCGTTGCCAAAGGGAACCTTTGTGTGTGCCAAACAAGTTTCGCTAGCAAGTATGACTCCGATTTCAGATCCGTCAACCTCTTCGATTTTTGAAGGGGGGTGGTTTCCCTAAAAGTGCTCCAGACAATATCGGCAAGGCAGTGGGTAATTTCGGGTCTACTAGGTTAGTCAGTAGAAACCCTTGGGGGAGACGCTGCACAACAAGGGATCATGTTGAATGCAAGAACCCAACTAGAGTCACAATCACAACTTGCTATTTGAATGGTCGACGCAAACCATGTAAACAAACCAAAGCGCGGGCGCACCTATGTTCTGTTAGACCTGTCGCCTAGCCTTCAAGTTGCCCTGTATTAGGATTGGTGTTGGGGGGCCGCTTCCTTCAAAGGAACTCAAGGGCGTACCAGTAGTGATTTTGGTTGTGTCGGATCAACTTCCTTCGCTTTTTGGCTCTGCTGGTGTGGCCACCTCTGGCACTTGAGGGGCGAGTCCGGTTGGGCCCTGACAGGTATGGTACCATAAGACATCTCGGTATCCTTTAGGCAAAATCGATGGAGCCAAGCCAGTTTCTAGGGTCCCACGGGTCCCACGGGTCCCACGACCCGAAGATGTTGTCCTTTGAATTTCTATTCAAAGTCTTGGAGTAGCATGCATGTATTTTCGAAGCCGAGCAGTTTGTATTTCAACCTCTTGGAGGCGACCCGCTGCAAATGGGTCTTCCCAAGAGACCCTTCGATGAAGAACCGCCTGCAAGCATGCTGTGGGTTCGGGATCTGGAAACCAAGGCCAAGCCAAACATGAATGTATTGTCCATGTCCACCCCCGGTTATAATAACCCCCCCCCCCCATTTGCTGTTAAGGTTGGGGGGTGGGGGGGCCCTTTTGCGGGGGATGGATGCCTGGTGGGGTGATCCCCCTTAACAACTGAAGGCTTGTGGGTCAACTCGCTAGGCCTCGCTCAGCTCCGCTCAGTTAGGCTCCGGCTATTGATGCCGGGCACCCGGTCGAAAGGTGGCCAGCCTTGGAATTGCGGAAAACCCTTTGCTGTGATACCAAAGTTAGTTCCCATCCCCTATGACCATATGGGTTTGGCTTTTTTCGATTGGCATATGTTAAGGGAAACCAAAAGGAAAACATCATTTGTTGGGGTCCCCTATTTGAAGACACCCTATATTATCTATTTAAAGAAGGAGAAGGGATTGCCTCGGCATCACCGCAAGTGGCCCTGAAATCCTATTTTCCGCAATCATCCTGAAGGCTGCCTAGGGAAATTCGGTCAAGCAGTCACATGGGCCCCGGACAGTATAACGAGAAAATTGCATTGTCCGCATGTCCTCCCCAAACCAACTGGAAACGACCACCATTTTGTGAGCCGATCCTGAGCCCGACAGCCCGACAAAAGCTGCACAAGGCTGATTAGAGCGGCTAGTGGACCCATGTGTGGTCTTGGTCCAGCGAGAATAGAGTTCCATGGTTTGAAGCTCGGCCTGTCATTCAAGGCCGATTGGAGGATGCTATGCAGCTTCCCTCACTCTATTCTTTGGTTGCCCATTCTTCCCCCCGAGGTTTTTGCAAACCGCCAAGATTCCCAAGATTCCCGGGTTTGGAGGCATTTTCAGGAAAGAAGGATCCCTGGAAAGAATGGGGGATGTAGGACTAAATTCGCTTGTTGATTCAAGGGCCGTCGCAGGGTTTGATAGATCCCTGCAGACCAAGTGGCTGAACTATCGGGAAGGACCCCGAACTAGGGTGCAAAGGTTCATGAGGTCACCCCACTTCCCACGGTGAGTCCAGGTGATAGTGGTTCGTCAACTTGGTCAAAAAAACTTAGGGGACTTACAGAGGGAAGTGGGAAGCCTCAGCTGTTCCCTCCAGGCGCCCCAGCAGACCTTGATCGCAGTGGGGCCCAAAGCCTCCGCAGTCGCCACGCTGCTCCTCCGGCATTCGAATCTTTTAGTCCAGGCTCTAAGTGAGGATGTCTTGCGTTAGGGGACTCCCAGATCGAGGTTTTCCTTTTGGTGTCCTTTTAAGCCGACACAAAAAAAAGTTCCCACAAAAAAAGACACGCCCAAGTCAGACACCGGGGGCTTTTTAAACCAAACCATACTGGGTAACCATATTCCGTACCTGTAGGTTTTACATGGAACATGCCCAAGCCTATCCAGTTTCCACTATGGGTAACCATATTATCTTATTAAGAATCTTATTGTTTACCTCTAGGTGTTGTATGGGTCTTCTTTGGCAAATGCCATCTTGGGTCACACCGCAACGTTCAAGAAAGCACATCGCAGCCAGCTTCGGGGGGTCCCCTGAGGTTGGGGTTGATGGGGTTGGGCTGTTGAGTACTTTCAATCCATGGAAGTTTCCACAACCCTCAGGAAATCCAGAACTCCCAAATAACCTGAACACACTGCAGGGCCTTTCGTTTATTGTTGGACACCCGGCATTTGCTTGTGTGTTTGGGGTTGTCTGTTTCGCTTGCTCACTGGTTTAGTCTTTGCACGTCCCACAAAACTAATTGGTCGACCCTTTTCAATGAATTTGTGTCAAAGTAGGGAATTGGACCCCCAGCGTGGGCTTTGATTTCCCATTCCCAAAAAAGAGTACCCCAAAACAGACGCACACGCACACACAGCTGAAACTTACACTACTGGTGCATGCTGACCCCCAACCTGTTGTTGGACCCATAAACCGCAAGACTGGACCAATAATTGGGCCGAAGTAAACTTTTTCTGCTGGAAAAAAGAAAACACAACAGGACAACCGCCAATTTCGGGGGGTCCCCTAGCCAGAAGGTCTGAACCGACCCCATGGAACGACGCCTCAGCGGCGCGGGGAGCGGCAGCGGCAGCGGCTGCGGTGCGGACCAGGGGGTCCAGCAAGACCTATTCGACACTCGCTCTCCGTGTCGTGGTGTTCTGCTTGGCCATGGACAAATATGGCCTTCTTGTGGTGACCCCCCCCCAAAAAAAAAGAAGCTTGTCACAAAAAAAGGTTTGTCAAAATGGGAAACCACAACATGAAGAATCAAGCTTCTGCTGCGGAGTGTAACTCTGACTTATATACCCACCACGCTGAGAAATCTGGAGCCGGGATTAGGGACCAATGGGTTGGTGCCTTCATGTGTTTCTCTTTAAAACCAAATCAACTAGAGGCCACATCCCTTGCCGTGCACATGGTGGGACGAGATGTGTCTCAGCCTGAGAGGTTCAGCTTAGGTACTCTCGGGGGCTCGGCTACATCTGTACCCCCTAACATGATCTCCGTGTACCCACAAAGGAAACATGTACGTGCAGGCCTTTTTGTCATTGGGTCCAAGCCGTAATCATGTACGAGGCCCGGGTTGAATCGTGGAACTATTGGAAAGCAATGATGTTCATGTACATTTGCATGATAGTGTATATATGAATACACATTCATATATGTATATATCTTGGATGAATAATGTATGGGTATGGCCACAACCGAGCTTCATCTGATGAGCTCGTCGTGCCAACCCAAAGACGGATAAGCACTGTTCAAACCAACAGCCTGCTCAAGACCCTCACACCGGCGGATTACCTATGTTGCAAGGGAATCAGTTGCAAACCTCCAATTGACCATTGCCCATGGATAAGAAACATGCATGTGTGGTTTGAAGCGCGCTGCAAACGCAAAATGTCTACATCCACATATCTGAGAGAAACCCCGAGAGGCACCCCGAGAGGCCCAAAGGAGCCTTGGGATGCAACCACAAGACCAACGCGGCTGAACCCAAACACAGGCTTGCTCCCAGTTAAGCTTGGCACTTGGTTGAAATTGAACCCATGTGGAACCACCTCACCCATGTTCCCACCTTGGGGCTTTGATGATCTTTGAGGAACGGTTCGAATCGAACACACTTGACAACTGGGCCTCGAATCCCACCAACGTTTGCTTCAACAACGAGACTCTGTTTCCCGTTTCAGGGAAACCAAAAGGTTGATTGAACAACAGCTTTCTGGTTGCCATGTTTCAGCAAGCTGTCGCGGTGGCTTAAATCGGGTGAGCAAATTCTTTTCCGAGGAGCCATCGGTACTCCGTGCCCACGCGCAGGGAAGCCTCCAGCCGACGAGAAACCCTTTTGCAGGTTGCAGCCAACCCCTCCAACGATACCAAAGTGGCATTCCTGTCACTGATCATACTTCATTCAAAGGGGTCCCTTGGTATCGCAAAATGTGGCCCAGCCCAACTTTCCACCTTTTGCGAAAGGTCCGGATCCCCCAAGGAGCAAAAAAAAAGGAACATATTTTCTTGGGTGTCCATGTTGATCTGCAGCCGTGCAAGGATTGGGTTGTCCAAAGAAACTTTGAGCTGTTCACCAGCCCATAGCTCCCAGCGAAGGGATCTGTGTCATGAATGTTGATTGCCCCAGCACGGTTGTTCATCCTTATAGAAACAAGTGGATTGAGTTAATGCCACTAGCCCAAGAAGGGTGGTTTGACCACGTAATGAATGACATGAAAGGGCAGAAAAAGAATTGGTCTCTCTTTAACTCATGTTCATGCGATTTGAGTATCTTGAAAGGAAGTTGTAAGCATGAAAATCCAGAGTAAAACGACATCCATTCCCTTTAATCCACCTTGACAGCATTTTTTCTTTACTAGTTGCTTGGCCAAGATGTAGCTGGTGAAAAGAGGTGGACCATCTCTTATTCTCTGTCCCACTCCCTCCTTTCGTGGGTACCAAAGATGCCCTCGATGGTAGGAAGGAGAGAGGCAGGACAGGAGAGTGATAGGCGATGGGTGCGAATTTAGAGCGGTCACATGGAATTGACTATCATCATCATCATCATCATCATCATCATCATCATCATCATCATCATCATCATCATCATCATCATCATCATCTGTCATGTTGTCTCATCTCTAGCTCCTCTGCTCCGTCTCCTCGCACGCCGGAGAGAAGAGGGGCCAGAGAGCGGATAGAGGTTAACTCGAGTTCGCTCCACTCCCCCACCCAGAAGTTTAGAAGGAACTTCCCTGATACGGCCACCAATTGAAAGCAAGCACGCACGAAAAAAAGCGTGCGAATGTGGCGAAAGATGACAAACTGCAAGAAGAGAAAAGGAAAAAAGAGAGAACATGAGAACCGTATACATATATATATATGTATATACAGGTATATAGTTTTATATGTTTTGAAACGTCTGCCAAAAAGCCAACACTGAACCTCTAACAAGGTAGGAATCCTAAGTGCGCCTGGCGAGGGTTCTTCTACACAGCGGTTCCATAGCGTTGCCCGAGCATTCCACGGACGTCTGAGCACAGGCCGTCTGAGCACCACCACGGCACGGCACGCGGCCGAGAACCGCGCCTCGAGCTGGTCATGGCCCATGAGCAACTCCCGCAACTGGTCGCTGAGGTCCACCTGAGGAGTTGCCCAGTTCGCCGACTTGCAGATGGTCCTACCGGTTTTTGGCTCACCGTTTTTCTGGACCATTTTACGGTGGATTCCCAGGATCCTGCTCAAGAGTAGAGTCCTCTTCAAATCAGGGGCTTTTAGGGGGTTCCACGTCAATCAAGGGAGTGTCCAAGCAGACCCAGGTGTGAGTCTTACTTAGCTTCTCGCTTGGGTTCAAAGGTTGATTTGGGGAGCCAGAGAGAATGGACAGCAGGTGTAACATGTGAGCAGTCAAAGCTTGCGATTGAAAGACATGGGAAACTTAGAGAATCCTATGGCTTTGGTTGACAGTTAGAGAGTCCCATGTCCCAGCTGAGTATTGTGACCAAACTTCAAATGGAGTCTCAAAGTGAAACCCCAAAACTGCCGCTGGCATCCTTTGGGCTTCGTCTAAAACCATACGCTCCAACACATGGGCGAGAATGTCCGTTTGACTTCCCTTAAAAAAGCATCATCTGCACAAATGTACAATTGCACCAATGCTTCGCCAACCAGAAGGAATCCACGAACAAGGGACGTTTATCATTGGGTGGGCCTGGTTCAGTGAACTTGCTATTGTCAGTGAAGAAAGCATGCGTTGTTTTCTACCTGGAGGACAGTGGGCGTTGGTTTGCCGTTTAAGAACCGCCAAAAACACCCCAACTCGTGCTTCTCAAAATGGTCCAGCCAAACATGCGTTTCCTTTTGGCTTCCCCTTGATTCTAATGGTTTTGAGAGGATTACACCCTGGGATTACACCATGGGAACATGACCCATAGTCAGAAATAACAGGGAATGCCCAGATAGTTCCCCGAATGGAACAATGTCCCAGGCGAAATTCCCGGGCATTTTGCAAAAGGAGGATCCCTACTTTGAGACAGACCCAACTGAGCCTCAGTCAAACTGTGCAGCAGCTACCCGACAAGAGTGGCGAGAATTTTTGAGAGCCCCCGCGGTTTTCAAGGAAAACAGAACAGTAAGTCCCCAAGTGTGGACCATGGTTAGGGGTTGCTTCCCCTGTCCTTCCAGAAATCAAAGACGGATCGCGGCTGCGGAAATCACCCTGTGATTGATTGGAGGTTGCGAAGCGTCTGTTTTTGTTGCTGTGTTTGCTGTTTTGGCAAAACCTGGCCAAGATTTCAGATGGGGGCATCTGAGACATCTTGCCTTTTGACACCTTCTTGCATGGCCTTAAAGTGTCATAGATATGTTGGGGGTAGACGACCGGTAAACAGCCATTGTACGGAAATCCCGACTCAAATTAAGTCTACGTAGATCTAAAACATGCCTAAGTGCTCAATAGTGCATTTCATCCAATTCAGGGAGAGAGGGTGTAAACGCAGGGTTCCTCACATTTCAACACGAGACTCAGAGTCCTCTTTCTTCCAACAAGTTTAGAGGTGAACTCTAACGATCGGTTGAATGGGAACGACCCATGACCTGTCTTTCCTGTTTGGTGGTTGTGTTTAAGGGAAACCAAGGAGAAACCACCCTGAGGGTACCCCTCAAAAGACAAGCCCGTAATGACATCACAGAAAGGTTGATTTCCTCCGCGACCATGTTCTGAACCCAGGAATCCTTCTTCAGAAAACCTGTCAAAACCTGGAGGGAACGGCGGAAGAACCAAGTAGTCATGGAGATGGGCACGTGCGCAACCCAAGCCTTGCTGGGAATGAAATGTGGCCCTGCGACTAGACGCTTCAGACACGAGAGTTGGCCACTCACAGGGAGTGTGCAGCCTAAAGTTTAGAGGTTCAAGCCGTCAATAGGGCCATGACCTATTAAGCCTGTATTAGCCCCTTTTTAGAGGCTTCTCCTTGGCAAACACCCCCCCCCCCGCAAACAGTGGCTCGCTAAATGCAAGTACTGTAAGCACAAAACCGATAAGCTAGAAAATCGTTCCTCTGCTCCTTGGCAAGTTGCTCTAGTTCTCCAACCGAAAATCGGGCACCTTGATGGGTGACGTCCCCCCCGACCCCCAACACGCGCCGGACCCGACGATCATGTCCCACCTGGAGCTCGTAGCGATGCCCGAAGCAGCCCAGCAGCCCGGCCACCCAGGCCTTGCCGATTGGATTTTCACGACTGGCAATGTAAAATCTAAGAGGCAAACAAAATCCTGTTGGAATGGATAAAACCCTACTGGAAAAACAGGATTTGTCCACGCGAAGCCGCTCACCTTTTTTTCCTGGGCCGGCCTTGCACCACTGGGTGATTAGACTTAGACTAACCCGTGTCTTGCGGGACCTTTCCTAGATGACCGCAGGGGCAAACCAAAGGACCCCACTCCAGTCCTGCGGGACCTGTCGAGGAAATTAAATTGCAACAGGCATCCACAGGTAGGAAAAATACCATGAACAAACAGAGGCATACCAAAGAAGCATCGGCGCAACAAGAGCTGGATTGCATCAGCAGCACCCCCATCATCACTTCTGGAGACCTGTCGAAAAGAAAACGAGGAAGTTGCAAACAAACAGCAGCTCGCATCCCCGGCTAGGGACCAGAACTGGAAGAAACGAACGCCCCCTACTCAAGTCCTGTGGGCCAAAGAATGGAGTTCCTCCTCGCCTTGGTCATGCTCTGCTTGACACACTTCATCAACCGGGTCTCCAGAAGCTGTGGCTTCTCTGTCAAACATTTCGAGATGCCGTGGCGCTTTGGTACCATCACGTCAGCTCATACAGACGCTCACTGCACTAGCACTGAAAGGAAAATTAAGGTCAGGTCCCCGTGGTGAAGGTGAGCATGAACCATGGTCTAAATTACTTGTTTTCCCGAAATGGCAATGACATAGAAATGAGGCTTTTGTGGGGACCTTTTGAGCTCGATCACAAACCAACCAGGAAATTGTTGAAACTCTCAAGTTTGGCACCTACTATGACAGCTGGGAGCCCTGAACCCTGGGGCGTCAAAGGGTCGGTTCCATTTTTGGAGCGAACTGGCAAGCTCGAAGGGGAATGCCGGATTCTGAGAGGCACAAGAGGAGGGGGGTTGTTCATCTTGAGGTTCAGAGCAACCCAATTCGCCTGTGTGCCTATGAGTCTTGACGGTTGGACGTCCGCAATGAAATATTGCTACTTATAGGCACACAGCTATATGCACACCTGCATACGCAGCACCAGGTTTTCACCCCACATTCCAAGAGAAGAACCTCTCACCTGCTTGGACCCCCACTTGGAGAGTGGCTGATATCCCCAGTAAGGTCCCCACTTCGTGGGTTATGGTTACACACAATTGTTCTTTGCGTTTTGCGACAACACCTGCGGCTTCTTCTTTTTTAACTTTGAGCCGCCAAATAATCGCCAGCTTGCGGCTTCGGCAGCGAACCGCGCAAACGGCGAAACCGAACTTTCGGCGTTTCGCCTCCTCCCAGGTCTCAGGCTCGCCGAGGCTGGGCTGCGTGCCCTCCAATTCGAAACGAAACTTCTCCGCCGGGGGAGGCGACGACTGCCTGAAGGTCCCAAGTAAAAACTCCAGGGAGTTGAAGTCCCGGATTTTGAGACACACATCCAACCGAAACCCTATGGATGCGAACAGAAACCGGGGCAACCGCTATTTTGTGGCTGGGACTGTCCATTACGAACCTTTATGCCAAGTTTTGATTTTGGCTCCACCTGCTGAGTTTGCTGGCAAAAAGTTTATATACTTGGGGGGGGGGGCTAGAACTCGGCAAATTACCAAAAATAGTCCGAAACAACCGAGGGCGTGCCAGCTGGAAGCCTGGAATGGGGTGATTCCGCGGGTGTAGTCCCAGGGTGGCATGGATGAATCCTTGGATCTCTTGACCTCAAAAGCATCTCGGTCGGGGCTGTTTGGATGCTTGGCGCCCAATTCACGGAAGGGCCCCCACAAAAACTCCTCTGAAAGTGGACGGCTTGCTTGGGTTGCATGTGCACCTTTCTAGGTTCGTTTTAAAGGAAACGAAAAGGCAAGCCATCATTTCGGGGGTCCCAGTACCTTGAAGGGGCAGGCCGGCGGGCGATGGGCAAAATCCACTTCGCACCAGTTGGGATGGACGAACCCCCATGAATTCTGAATTTAACCACTTACCGACAGGTGCAGGATTTCGTCCAACACCAATATGTCCCCTTCAATGCTTTGGGCACCACCCCAGCAAGAACCTATATCCCTTCAAGTTGCGTCAAACGACCCTCAAAAAGAGAATGCCGGGATTCATGGCAGTAGTCGTCTTGGCCATACGGACCTAACTCCTTGAAGCGTGGGGGACTTCTTCTATCGGGATATTAGCAACTTGCCAAGTGGGATGGCAAGAAGGCCCAAACAACAGCCCACAGAGGCCCCGGCCACAGCATGTGCCGGTGGCAAAGCCGCAGCAGGGAGCTCTATGAAGCCTGAAGGACATGTGGGGAACCCAGCCTGCAGTGCCCGGGGAAAACAACCTTTTCTGGGTGAGGATTGCCCTTGGTGGGGCTGGGAGACAAACAGCGCCTCTGGTGGAAACCCGCCCTTGGTTTCGAACAGAAAACTCACCAAAGAAAGGAAAGGGGTTGCCCCACCAAAAATTGCAGATCTTTGGTTGGGCTCCATGTGAGCCATAATCACAACTCGGTGTATGGGTCGAGCCAATGTAAAGAATCGAACGGGCTTCTTGCCGCACGACTTTCCCTCACCCTTCACTGGCCCAGGTTTTCATTGTCCATAATGAGTGAGCATTAGAATGTATAGGCGGACGAAGAAATTGGTGGCATTCTTTCGGCTTCTGAGAGAACTGAAAAGGGTAGACCTTCTGGGTACATTGCGGGGAGAAAAAAGCCGCGCCACGGTGAAAATGACTTTGTTCCCTCAGAGGGCAAGAGAAGATCAGAGTCGTCCCCTGATTCTCTGTCGAGTCAATGCGCGATGAATGCGCACTTTGGCACAGCAAAGTGAAACAACACGAAAGTGGAAACTATCTCAGGAAGAAAGAAGGCAAAAGATCCTCCTGCCATGTCCAAAATTCTCTGCAAGGCAGCCAATGAGCGCAATCCGCAACTGGCTCCAATACAAAGTCTCGCTCAAGCCGTTCAGAAATTCTGATGCATTTTGCATGCTGGACAAGTTGCAACCTTTGCCTACTCCCACAAGAACAGAGCGCGCATGGCACGGAGAGGGCCCATGTGTTCCAGGCGAGATCAGAGCCAACGAGCCGACATTCCCAGGGCCCCAAAAGCGTTTCCATGCGAGAAAGCAAATGCTTGACCTCCTGAACCATGTTTGCAGAGTGCGGATCTCCAGACGCCAAACCCTGAGGACGGAAAACCTGAACAGGTTCCCTCATTCGAAATCCCCCACAAAAGGTTCATGGCCAACCCTACCCCAAGTTCCGTGGTCATCTACAAGTGCATTTTCTCCCTGAAACCAGTCACCCTTTTCTGGAGGGTGTCAACCGAAAGGAACCACGCTCTCTATCCTCTATCCAGCTCGGATTCCCTCCTTTGCCCAGACCGATTTCAGTTGTTGACAGGGAGATTTTCACAATGGTGAATCCCTTTTCAATTGCGTTGCTTGTGCTTGCTTTTTCACTGGTGTTAGAGGAAAAGCAACGGGAAATTGAAATCCATTTTGGGCCCCTAAAGATACACCAGATACACCGGCACGGACCAGGCTCCAAGTCTCCGGCGTCTCGGGCCCTTCACACCCACCGGCAGCTCCTGGCGCCGAAAGCTGAGGGAAACCAGCGGCTTTGAGCGATGTGCCCACTTAGAGGTGGCACGAAAATGACCAATGCTTTTGGGCCCTCTGTACAAAGGTCTGGCGTTGGTATGGCTAACTGAAAAACAGTGCGGTGGCAAATGCCCTGGTCAGGGCGCACCCCGAAACAGTATGTTCAGTTCATTCTGTATCAGATTCGATCTTGGTAAAACCTCAAACGGGTTTGGAGGAGAATCCAGCTTCTGTGATGCCAGGTAAGACATGCCTGTTGCTTCGTTTCCCTTCAAATGACAACGAGCAAATGCATTAAACACATGCCGAAAGAACGACGCCCTGCCCCGACCGTACATCCCTTACAAACTGGATGGATCAACATACCTATAGGGTATGCAAGAAGCAGAATAGTGAATCCCTTCTGGGATGGTTTCAAAGGAAATTTAAAAGGAAATTAGCCACCACAAAGGGTCCAAAAAACACTTGCCCCCCCCCCCCCCCCCCAATTACTTGCACGTATCCCAGCGGCAGTCGGTGTGTTTCTGCTTTGCTCCGAGGCCTACGTTTCTTTGAAGCCCGGTTCCGACTTTGTCCGGAACCGGAAGTTTCAGGCAAACCAAAGGGAGACCAATGGCCAAACATGGAGGAAATGGAAGCCACAAAGGGAACAAAGAAAGCAAGGCAGCAAGGCAAGAATGTCATGTGTGTGTGTGTGTTTTTTGGTGAGAAACCAAAGCGGCGACAAGAAAAAACGGCGGAGTCTGGCAATGGAACGTGGGCACGCAGGCAAGGCTGCTTGCGGAAGTGGACAATTGGCTTTCCGTGTTGATTCAATCTAAACTTAGTGGTTCATTGATCCTTTCCTGAAAGTTAAACGGTTGGTGGGGTATGTCATGAATCCCTCTAAAAGGGCATTGCTGGGAATAGATCAATAGCTATAGCTGTTTGAAGAGTCCAGAGCAAGCCCGTCGGAGCAAGCCGCCAGTGTTGGCGCTGCTCGGACAACTGCACAAATATGTTGCTTCAGGGGGGAAGGGCAACCTAGCTGCTATAGCTTTTCGCTTTTGAACATCAGTTGGCAAGTCCCCGATCTCCAGCAGTTGGCAGGCAAGCTGTACTCGCCGATGGTGCCAACCAAACGAGGCGAACTCGTGCGTGTACAGATAATACTTGGCACCGCTTGGATCCCGACTCCCTTCCTGAGAGGTTCTCGGACAGGGACGGCTACCGGTTTATGAGGGGACTTCGGATGGGTGTGTTGAATATTTTGAAGTGGCTGAATCGAGCACTTTTCTGCCAAACGAGCCAAACAAGTCACATGGTTCCGGAAAATAACCCTTATCCTTTATGATACCAACATGGGTCATTCCCATTGCTGTTGTACGACTGTGAACAGGATCCCCGTTGTATCCCAAGTGGAACCCCCCCGCCATTTTCCACAATGAAAGCACTGCTAGGCCTCCCCCCTCTTGCAAACAGGCTCCCCTCTTCGACATGTGGCGGCATTGTTGGTGTCCGAAATTGAAGCGAATCAGGACTTGGAACCAACGTTTTGTTGTTCATCGCCCAAAACCCAGTTGGATTCCTTCCTTAGTGGTTCGCTGATCCCTTGCTGAAAGTTGAACTTGTTGTGGGATATGTCACGATCACGCAAAGGAAACGTACGGCTGTGTCTCTTAAGGGAGCACCCCGTTTCGGTTGGGTTTTAAAGGAGCACCCCCAGGGAAAACCGTGAAGTATGGGGTTGCCCGATTTTAGGACAATCCCATAGCTGAGAACCGTCGGGCCTTCTGAGTCTCCCCCTTCATGCGGATGCGCAGCTGGTACTGGGCCACGTGTCGGTGCCCCACCTTCGCAGACCCCCTCCCGGGTTTTGGGACTTGGGACCGACCCTTGGCGGTTGCTTCGAAGCACACCAAAGGGAAGTCATGTTAGATGCCACAGACGCATATTTGGTGAAGCTGGAAGCTTTAAATACCCGTTCAAACTGTCTTTGTCCGATTCTAGCGCATACTTGGTGAAGCTGGAAATCGAAGATGTGACACCTTGACTCACACCCCCGTGGCAATAGTGTTTACTAGTTTTCCTGGTCAAACTGAGAAAATAGAGAGAACCCAAAAGGGCAAAGAAGCAAAATATTACTCCGAAATCTGGCAATGCAATGAGATCCCGGATCCTTCGCCAGATGATAACTTGTAGTGGGATTTGCCATAAAGTATGGCTGGGCGAGATGCGGAGAGCCTGGGGCGCCCGGCGGACTCATTGGTCGTAGCGGTACGCTGTGTCTGCGGCAGGTGGCCCTGGCGACTTTGGCTAGGGGTTGGCCCAGCTAGACTTGCACCCGGTTCCGTTTTAGCGAGCTCAACATGACATGCTCATGAGCCACACGATGTTGGTCCTTCACATGGGAATCCCGGACAAATTGTCGACCAAAAATGCTTAGATCATACACGAAAATCCGATCTACACGCTCTGTGGGAGTTGCCGGCTTCCCGACGGGAGCCTGCTTTTCAAGTATGAAAGTCTATAGGCTATGCGCAAAGTCGCTGCGGATCAAGGTAACATTCACCCCAAAAGTAATTTTGAGGACCTTCTAAATGCAACGACCCAATGGGATCCAGAATCAGCATGGAAACCTGTCGCTGGGAGGTCAGCGCACCACTCGCACCACTCGCAGGCCTTCTCACTTTTTTAGCCCTCCCAAAATACACCTCAAGGCCTCGGCGGACTTTTGGTAAAACAGGCGGGAGGAACGGAGTGTTGCAGAGAACCATCGCGAGGTGGCTGGATCAAGGGAACATGAGCCCAAGCAGCACACGTTGCTGCAAATCTTCAAAATCCATCCCCCCTTCTTTCCGTCTCAAGATTTCCGGGTCTAAAGGTGGACCCCTAATTGGATCCCTCTCTCAGAGTCCAAACAGGTTGAAATTGTCATTCCGAAACCTCCAGTCACGGGCGAAACGAGCACACGAGTTTGGTGGTAACTTTAAAGGGAAACCACTTCAAGGGAAACGGGCACCGCTGGTGAGCATGTGCAACAATCGCCCATCCGAAGACGACCCCCTTGTCCCTTGTTGAACGCAAAACGCAGTGAAGCGGCCAACACACAAGGACAAAGGACAATTCTGTATTTAATTTGCCGCAAGGAACAACAGGCTGAAATCTAGTTAACATGTTTTTTTTTTTTTTTTAAATGTCTGGTTGGTTTGTTTGAAATACGTTGTAAAACTTAGGGTGTCCACTTGAAGTCTCCCAAAATAAATAACCTGCTGCGGAAAACGACAAACATACAAGGGGTGGTAACTGTATTTGTTCGGTTATGCTGTCAGTAAATCATGTGTCAACCTATCCTGAAAAGGGCGAAATCACCTCCAAACAGAAGGAAAAAGCAGGCACCACTGACTGGAAGTCTTGCTTGTCCCTAGCATCATGGCAAGGGAAAACAAAGGATCCGTGCCTTTGGAGTTTGGCTGTTTGGCCATCGTGTAGGAAGCTGACCATGTGGCTTCTCCAAGGTTTTTGGACCCCATTGTCAGTTGCTTCTTCTTTCGGACGACAACACAAGGGGGCCAAGAGGGGTTCTCAAACTGGTGGTCCCCCAAAAAAAGCTGACTTCCTTTTGGGAAAAAACAAAAAGGGGGTCCACCATTTGGGCGTCTCGTTTTTTAGGGTACCCTTTTTTGGTGCCCTAAAGGGAAACCAAAAGGAAAGCCGCCATTTTGAGGGGGTCCCCTCAAAAGTGACTGGCACATCACCAGCCCGGCTCACCGCCTCCTTGAGCACCGGCCCGGGCTGCAAGAAGAAGCGGAGGTGCAGATGCAGCGCCCCCACGGAGGGCAGGAACCGCATCCTCGGGTTGTAAGGGAAGCTACAGCCCACGTTGGACAAAATCCAACTCGCA